ATTGAAGGTTAATAGGCTTGGTCTGCAGATGCAAGAGGAAAATGGACTGTTACTTCCCTGCAGACCTACTCAGGGTGAGAGTAATCTTCCCAATGGGCACAGTTGAGGCCCGTGTTCCTGGTCATTTATGTTGTGGGGGAGAGAACTGGCTCAAGAGGAGGATGTACAGGGACAAAGGCTTAGCTGGCTGGTCAGGGGCCTGGAAGGAGCAAGCTTGAAAGACTGGGGTGGACCCCTAAGGTAGTCAGGGCAAATTGTGAGGACCTTTGAATCATATGCTAATGATCCCCAAAGAACGTTCAGTATAGCTGGGCAGAAGAGTTAGAAACAAGGGCGTCAGTGTTGGAGAGACCTGGGCTCCAATCCTCAACTCTACCCCCACTGGCTGTGAGCCCCTGGGCAGGGGGCTTAACCCTCCTGAGTTTCATCATCCCCACCCATCAAAAGGATGTTTTTGTTACAGGATTTCTTTTCCTTCAGTGCCCTCGTTTCTTGGTCACACCGCATCGAAGAATAAAGAGGTAGACCAGACAGAATGGTGGGCAGCAAAGCAAGGTTTATTGAGCGATTGTACAAAGATCCCAAAGAGGGAGGGGACCCGAGAGGGTTTCTGATTTGGTGTTTAGATCTAGGGGTTTTTATGGGCTTGTCGGCAGGCTGTTTTAATCTGATTAACCCTCCCTGTGCCTGTCACCCAATTAGGTTTTTGTCATCTACCTATCATGGGGGAAAGGGTGGAAGGCTTCTTCCAGGTGATGTAAAATCCTTTTAAGGGTGGTTTCCTCTTAGGGTGGGGGGCTTGTCCCTGCCTGCCTTTCTTTCTTTCTTTTTTTTTTTTTTTAAGATTTTACTTATTTATTTGAGAGAGAGAATGAGATAGAGAGCATGAGAGGGGGGAGGGTCAGAAAGAGAAGCAGACTCCCTGCTGATCAGGGAGCCCGACGTGGGACTCGATCCCGAGACTCCAGGATCATGACCTGAGCTGAAGGCAGTCGCTTAACCAACTGAGCCACCCAGGAGCCCTCTGCCTGCCTTTCTTCCAACTATCCTTCATCGTTTTAAGAATTAAATGATGTGCATGAAGGGCACACTGGGAATACTCAATAAGGGCGATAATTGTTACTATTTCATTCAATATGCTCAACAATCCTAAGAAATAAGCACCAATAGCCAAGTTTATCAGGTAAGAAACCGGCCCAAGGAATTTAAATGACTAACCAAATTTTCAGTTTACCAAGTGTCAGAAATGGAATTTAAATTAAGATTTCTTGGGGCGCCTGGGTGGCTCAGTCAGCTAAGCCTCTACCTTCGGCTCAGGTCATGATCTCAGGGTCCTGGGATGAAGCCCGGCTGTGCAGGGAGCCTGTTTCTCCCTCTGCCTGCCGCTCCCCCTGCTTGTTCCCTCTCTCTCTCTGACAAATAAATAAAATAAAATCTCTTAAAAAAATGAAAAAAAATATGTAAGATTTCTTTGGCTTCCAAGCCCATGGGTGGCTTTAACACTCTGTGCTGGAGGAATTGCACTTAGAAGTGAGATACAAGACAAGAGCTTGCTATTGGATAAATTCTTTCTTTCCTTTATGACAATTCTAAAGCAAAAGATTATTCTCCTTATTTTACAGATGAACACCCCTGTGGTCAGAGAGATTGCATGACCTGACTAAGGCCATGTAACTTGTAAAGGGAAGAAGCCAGTATTTGAGCTTTCTCTGTACTACTTACATGTTCTTTTACTTGGGGCAGGATTGGTGATGAGATTCATTTTAGGAAAACTCTATGGGGAGAAACTAAGAAAACTATAATTCCATCAGGGCTTGGAGTTCAAGAACAGTTTTAGCCTAGTGGACCTCCTTCCTAGTGCAAAGGACCTTCTTTAACAAGAGTAATAAGTTATTAATAGGGCTATAGCCTGAAGTAGAACAGAAGTGTCCTCTATACAATTTGAACTCTCTTCTTCCTTGGTATTTACCTAACTTGTAAAGTTTATGATCAGTGATGCCTAACTGTATTAAAAGTTCATGTGTTTTAAGCAGTGAGTTAAGTGCACAGTACAAAAATGGTCAGTGTGGAAAGTTCTGGCAGATATACACTACAGGAAATGTTCAGAAGGTCACTGTATGCTGGGGGGAAGTGGGGCTAGCAAATTATAACCAGAGCAGGGGGATTGTGGGAACCCCAAGTTAATAGTTGGATGGTCAGAGGTACTGGAGGCCCCAACTTTTGATTGGTGTCTGAAGTGGGGAGCAGTCTTGTGGGACTGAGCCCTTAACCTTTGGGGTCTGCATTAACCCCAAGGAGTTAGTATTGAATTGAGTTATACTGGAGGACACCCCGTTGGTGTCCACAGAGCATTGGAGAGTTGCTTGGTGTGGAAAACTCACAAATGTGGTGGGTGTCAGAAGTATTTTGGGTAAAAAAGAGTGAATACCCTCAGATTCCACAGTTTCTATCCTTTCTGTTAGGTCCCACCTTCACCCCCAAGAAAGGCCAAAGGCTAGAAGGTGAAATAGTGAGAAAAAAAAAAAAAAACCCCAGATGATTCATTCAAGTCAGTTAATCCTTATGCAATATCTGCTGTATTCAAATACATAGAATTCTGTTCTTCAGTTCTAGGAGTTACAGAGATGCAAAGATAAACTATTTAAACAGTCCCTGCTATCAAAACCCAGCTCTAGGTTCAGGGTTTTTCCCCTGGTCTCTGACACCAACAAACTTAAAAACTTGTTGGAGTGGGGAAAAAAAAATTGAGATCTTTTATTCTAGCAATCTTGTTTTAAAGATAAAAACGAGGCCTGAGATTATAGAGATAATTGGCAGAGCTGGCTTTTGTACTGGTGTTTCCCTCTGCTGTTTATCATTATTTTATGCAGCAATTTTAGCACATCTTAAATATTTCAATATTTCTGAACAGTATTGGAGAGTTTGTGAAGCTGATTTAGGAAAGGAGCTCAGGCACTGTGAATTGTGTAAGACTGTTGAATCACAGACCTGTACCTCTGAAACAAATAATACATTATATGTTTAAAAAAAAAAAAAAAGAAGAAGATAACAGGAAGGGAAAAATGAAGGGGGGGAAATTGGAGGGGGAGATAAACCATGAGAGACTATGGACTCTGAGAAACAAACTGAGGGTTCTAGAGGGGAGGGGGGTGGGTGGATGTGTTAGCCCAGTGACGGGGATTAAGGAGGGCACGTACTGCATGAGCACTGGGTGTTATACGCAAACAATGAATCATGGAACACTACATCAAAAACTAATGATGTAATGTATGGTGATTATCATAACATAATAATAAAAAAAAAAGGAAGGGAGCTCAGGAACTTTTGATTCACAAAGAAATGGCGGGGGGGGGGGCCGGATAATTTAGCTGTATTGAAGCTATGCATCCCAGATCTAGATGTCCATTATTATTACACTATAAATTTTGTGAGGACAGGAATCCTCTATTTAAAAAAAGAAAAATCACCCCCCCCACCATGCCTTGTTGAATCAATAAATAAAATACATAAACATGCGTGAGTGACTTATGAGTGGCTATGTGTGTGACAAGTGGCTATGTTTATTATTTTTAAGATTTTTTATCCTGTGAATCTTTGTTGAAGGCCAATAGGAGGAAGGTGTAGTGCAGGAAATGAAAAGAGGTTTAATCACAGTCCCCACCATTAAGGAGCTTTAGAGTCTAGTAGGTTAGGGGGCAGATACACCACAGTAGAAAGTGATGAAGAATGAGGGAAACAAAGGCAGAAGAAAAATTATTAAATTTCCTTACTATCTACAGCCTATTGGCAAGTACTTGAAAGAGGCAGAGTGACATTCCTCTAGGGGCGCCTGGGTGGCTCAGTCAGTTAAACGTCTGGCTTCTGCTCAGGTCATGATCCCAGCATCCTGGGATCTGGCCCGGCCCAGCCTGGCATCATCGGGCTCCCTGCTCAGCGGGGAGCCTGCTTCTCTCTCTCCCTCCGCCTGCCGCTCTGCCTACTTGTGTTCTCTCTCTCTGTCAAATAAATTAAAAAAAAAAAAAATCTTAAAAAAAAAGAGGCAGAGTGACATTCCTCTAGGGACTCAACTTCCTCGATATTAAAACTTTGCTAAGGGCAAAGGAAATCTTAGCCCTTCCTCCAGAATCCTATAATAAAAATGTCTTTAGAAATTTCCTTTTTCTCTAAACTCCCTAAGATACTGTTGGCAATCATCCCCCAAGCATATGGCCCACCCATATATGTCTGAAGGGTCTCATGACTAAGGTTTTATTAGATGGTAATAAATGACCTTTTCCTAACAATAGCTAGTCCCCTCAAGGTCCTGGAAACCTTATTTCCAAAATTCCTTAGAGATTTACCCTATCTTTACAAACACCCTCCTCCCCCCCACCTTGTAGGTATATAGTCACCACCCCTCATGACCCCATTGTAGCTCTTTCTGCCCAGGTCCTGTCCCCATGTTTTAATAAAATCACCTTTTTGTACCAAAGACATATCAAGAATTCTTTCTTGGCGGTCGGCTTCGAACCCTAAGGTCTTTCCCACATCAATGAACACTTCGCACAACGGGTGTGATGTAAGGGATGGGGGTACTCAGAGGAGGGGAATTTTCTCTAGGGGTGGGGAAATACTGTGCCTGCTAGGGAGAACCTGGTATGCGCATCAGGAACCTGAGTTCTACAACTGGTTCTACTACTGATTTGCCCGGGGACCTCGGGCTGTAAGTTAGGCTTATAAATTAAATTCCCCAGATTTCTGTTTTCCACTCTGAGAAGGGTCGGCTGGACGATTAGGTTCCCTGGGACAATGCCCTCCTCGGTTTCTTATTGGTGTTGTTTCTCTCCCCTACACCGCCCCGCTCCCCACGAGGCCAGCCGGGGAACTGAGCGCGGCCCCTTTAAGGGAGCCCTCGACCACGGGCGCTGGGGGTGCCCCCGGCTGGGGCGGGGCGCCAGGGACCCGGGCTTCCCACGCAGCCGGGGACGCCGTCGCGTCACGGCGCTCGCAGCCAATCAGGATGGAGCCTGCCGGGACGCATTACTAGGGCGACGGGCCGGACGCCTCCCGCTTCGGGATGAATTAGCGGCGGGTTTTGCTCGGAGATTGTGCCCCCCACGGATTCTCCAGTTCGTCCACGCGACCCCCACGGCGACGCGCGACGTCCTCTGCTGGTCACAGGTGGGAGGCCGGGAACTGTCAAGTGGGGGGTTTAGCGCCGTAAAATGGCGGCGGCGGCCGGGGGATCCCCGAGTTGGTGGAGGGGGAACAGCCCCACGGACTCTTCCCCCAGAGCCACGGGCCTCCCCTGGCCCCGGTAACGGTCACTTGACCAGGAATTGGAGGCCCGACGCAGGTGGCGGCGTCGCCGGCTCAGGTGAGGGGAGGCGCGGGGAAGCGATTCGCAGAGGCAGGCGAAGGCGTTGGGGGCTGCGAGGCCGCGCGGGCCGGCTCGGCGAGTGGGGAGAGGGCGAGGCTGTTGCGGGGTTTGGCGGGCCAGGTGCCCGGTCGGTGGTATAGATTAGTATCAAGACCTTCCTTCTCCAGACCTGGACGGGTCCGGGAGCTGCCTCGCCCGGAACATAGTTCTGTTTCTGCCTCTGTTAATGTGCAAAACATCCCCAAGTGTTTGCCACGTGCGAGGCTTGGACTTGGGCTCTCGAGCCCTGATCTGTGTATCCTTCAGGCTCCAGATGCCTGCCCACAGGTGCCAGAGTGGCAGTGCCACGGAAGGAAAGGTAGTCCCCAGCCGGAAGCTGATGTCAAGTCTGATCGTTAAGGTGTGTCTTAGCTTCTACTTGCTCGCTGAAGACAAAAAATAAAAAGTGCATTTGAGTGCCTTAGAGACGTTTTCCTTCCTTGTACTTAACCTGCTTCAGGTGGGTTCCCTGGAATATTGTCTCTGCCTTCGAAGCTCATTAATTGTATTCGTGTGCACGTGGCTGTAGATAAGGCTGAGGCTTGGGATTCCGTTTAAGTCTAGGGAAGTAATGAAAAGTATGGTGAAGGCCTTTCAGAGATGAAATATTGTCTATTCATGTTGCTTATTTGGGCAAACATATGTCATAAAATATAATTAGTTTTCAGAGTGTCTTAATGATAGTTCTTTTTGCAAAACTGTTGATTTTTGAGAGTAAAAATTATTTTATAAAAGTTATTTTTTAAAAAAGTTTGTTGCCACATTGTACTTTGATGTGACGGATAAGCATAATATCAAGTGACTTTTTATTTGATAGCAGGCTTGATTTTGTGGAGTGCCTTGTTCTGTCATTGAGAAAGCACAGTAGCCCTTTGTGTTTCAGTCATCAGTGGTTCCTGTCTTTGGAGTGCTCACTGTGTGTCAGGCATTGTGAAAGTGAGCCATCTCCTATCTTTTAATCCGATTTGCAAATGGGTTAGTTCATCTGCCCTCACCAGGTGTTTAGGCTGGCTGCTCACCACCAAGAGGAAATAATGGGGGGGGGGGGGGAACCCAAAAGACTTTCTTCCAGACTGCTACCTGGAGATTTGGTCAGTTTGGCCAGGGGCTGGGGTAGGTGGGGTTTCTAGTTTCTACTCAGCCGCTTAAAATATGTTAGGGAAATCATATAACCTCTTTGTCAGTATCTTACCTCTGAAATGGGCAAAGCAATTCTTATCCAAACAATCTCATTGTACTTTTGTGAGAAAAAAAACCAAGACAGTATATATGAAAGGGCTTACAAAGGTGAAAAATACAGGGTTAACAGTTGACTTTTCTTACTATACGGTTACTCAGCCAACGACGTTGTGTGTGCTGACTTAGTCACCTAGCAACTTGGTGAAGTGAGTACTTTCTCATCTTTGTTTTACTGATGAGGAAACTGAGGCACCAAATCAAACAACTGTGGTCTTAACTACCGTGCATACCATCTTCCTATGTCATACAGATTTGTTATGTGTTAAGGGGGGTATATAGGAACACATTTTTCAATGAAGTATCTTGTTTGTGATCCTTTGGTTGTATTGCGTAAGTAATAACCATGTTTCATTCCGTTGGCATCCAGTAGTGATTTATATGGTGATGACTACAGTTACTTTTATTCATTTTACTTTTAATGTCCTCTATTTTATTTTATTTTATTTTATTTTTTAAAGATTTTATTTATTTGACAGAGAGAGATACAGCGAGAGAGGGAACACAAGCAGGGGGAGTGGGAGAGGGAGAAGCAGGCTTCCCGCGGAGCAGGGAGCCCGATGTGGGGCTCGATCCCAGGACCCTGGGATCATGACCTGAGCCGAAGGCAGATGCTTAACAACTGAGCCACCCAGGCGCCCCTAATGCCCTTTATTTTAAAAATTATTTCAAAACAGTTGATTTTCTAACAGGACACACAAATCAATAATTAAGGAAGATTTTAGTTTTTATTAAACGCTCAAAAAAATAACTTGCTGGGTGACTTGAAAGCAAACTTATGGTAGGTTCATTACTTTGATGTATTTGTATAAAGTATTCAAGTCTCTGTAGAAAAAAAGGATATGAATAAAAGTGGCTAGGACATTAATTCTTTTTTTAATGCCTTTTTTTTTTTTTAAAGATTTTATTTATTTATTTGACAGAGAGAGCACAAGTAGGCAGAGAGGCAGGCAGAGGGAGAGGGAGAAGCAGGCTCCTGACATGGAGCTCGATCCCAGGACCCTGGGATCATGACCCGAGCCGAAGGCAGCCGCCTAACGGACTGAGCCACCCAGGCGCCCCTCATTCTTTCTTTGAGCCTTTTTGGAATTGCCCTGCCAAGTCTTTGGTGTGTAAAGATTAATTCCTGACCTTATCCTCCAGGAAATCCAGGGAGAAGTCCCAGGTCAGGAAGTTTGTAGACCAGTGAATGAGACAAACAAGTAAATAACTAATGCAGTCCGAGAAGGTTTCAGATATAGTTGTGGTGGGTACAGAGAGCTGTGGGAACACATACAAGGGAACAGTTGGTTTTGTTGGGGTGGCCCTAGCCAAGATAGGAAGGGAGCTGACTGCAGGGTAAAGGAGAAAGTGCTTCCAGCCAAAGAAGTTAGCAGTAGAGAGGACGAGTGAGACTGCATGGGTGTCCAGGGATCAGACCAGAGTTTTGCAGAAGTTGCTGAGAGAGAATACAGGAAAGATTGTGAATTCTCAGCTGAGAGAGTGACTTTATCTTGTGGGCAGTGGGACCTGTAGAAAGATCTTAATCAAATGAGTAATACAATCAACTTTATGTTCTGGAGAGAGATGACTAGTGACAGGGTGAAAGAATGTAAGGAGACTAGTTAAGGACAGTGTCCATACTCCAAACAAGAGGTGGTGAGAGAGTGAACCAGGGCATTCACTAGCAGAGCAGAGTTCAGAGTCCACCACACACATTTTGAAAGGAGAATGGAAGATTGATTAAGTGTGAAGAATAATAGGGTGGGAGAGGGGAACACTTGGTAAGCAAGTAAAGAATCACGTGGTTTTTTTGTTTTGTTTTTTGGGAACAATATGGCTACAGATTGGAGATACTGTTAATTTAAGAAAAGGATAGAGTAGAAAGTTCTTTGTTACTGGGTTTCGGGAGAATTGTAAACCCTTTGAGGTTGTTGGGTCAATAAGATTTAATAGAACCAGGCTTATACCTTCCTGTAGGCTTCTGGTTTCGAAGACTACAGAAAACTCAATTATATTGTACAAGTCAGCAGGGTCTAGTGAAAAGGTGGCTCCACTGGAGCAAAGCCGCTCAAAAGGAGTGGGAAGAATCATCTAATGTATGTTGGGGTAAAATGCTAGAATGACAGCTATTAGAGAATTTTTTCATTTGTTTTTACATTAGGTTTTTAACATACTTGTACGGAAGTCCATTATAGTATGGAAGTAATCAAATAAATTCTCTAGTTGTAAAACTGATCTCCACTCAAACATTCAGAACACTAGAGTTGTCTAGCATCTGACAACATAACATGAATGAACCCATTCTAAATTGCAAGGTGAAACTGGAAACCTTGCAAAGATGCAGGATTTCATGTGTTCAGAGCAAGGTTGAGAACTGTTCAAACCATAAGCACAAGTCAAAGAACTAGTACTCTAGTACTACTAGAGTAAATTTCTTAAAAAGGACTCTGAAAGCAATGACCGTAACAGTGATTGATAAATTTGATGTCAGTCTTCATTAAAATTGAGAACGTCTCCCCATCTAAAGATACCATTAAGAAAATGAATGGCAGAATACAGACTAGAAGAAGAAATTTGCAATTCATATATCTGACCAAGGACTCCTACCCAGAATATATGTGTGTATATGTTTGTATAAAATTAATAAGAAAAACAATTTAAAATATGTACAGAAGTTCTGGACACTTTCTACTAGAGGATCTCTGAATGGTCTGTACGCATATAAAAAGGTGTTCAACATTTTTAGTCCCAGATGGAGACTCCCAATGGAGAAATGGAAATTAAAACAGTGAGCTACTACTACACACCTTCCAGAATGGCTAAAATTAAAAAGATTGTTAATGCCAATATTGTGGAACAACTGAATCTCATATATGTTGGTGGGAATGTACAACCATTTTGGAAAACTGGCTGTGTCTAATCTTACCCATAATCCATCAATTCCATTCCTAGATATATACCTGAGGGGAAGGGATGTATATGTCTACCAACAAAAAAAAAAAGGTAAAAGAATGTTCATATAACCTTTATTCATAATAACTAAAATTTAGATAAAACCTGAGGTACATTAGCAGCAGAATGGATGAGTAAATTGTGGTATATTTATAAAAGGAAACATTACAAAAGCAGTTAAAGAATGAACTGCTGATATATCCACATGGATGGGTTTCGTAGACATAATGAGCCAGACAAAAGATTGCATACCATATGATTCCATTTAAATGAAGTCCAAAAATAGGGTACAAGTATTTCCTGGTGATAGAAGTCAGAATGGTGGTGCGTTCAGGAACCTTCTGGAGTGTTGGAAATGTCCCGTATGTTGAGTTGGGCGGTGGTTATTTGGGTGTATGTATATGTAAAAATTCAAGTTGCACACCTAATATTTATGCACTTTTGTTATACTTTAAAGGGGTGCTAGTGAGAATTTGGCGATGTTAGACCAATTAACTTTTGTTGAGGAAACCCAGCAGGAATGATGATGAAAGAGATGCTTTATAAGAATTTAAAAAAGAGCATGAGAGGCTTCAGAGGAATAAATGATGAA